AAAGGAGACTGATGTAATCAATATTCAATTGAAAAAACATGTATCACGTATTGAGAAACTTGAGAAAGTTTATAATGTATTAAAGAAGCATAAAAAAGCTTTTACAGTAAGTGATTTTTGTAAGTATGAATACGAATCACAAATTAATGTTGTCTCTGTAAATATTTAGGATGCTAATATCCATAACTACGAAGTATGAAATGAACAAATAAATAATTCATCGAGAACGACATCATTCTCGGTATCATCCACTCAAGCTCAAAATGTTTCGGTAAGCATTCTTCTTTTGACTAGCGTGCCTTACTTCTATTCGTAAATTTGTATCGCTTGAGATTGTTCTTGGCGTCGATATTTCTACAATTAAGACCGACCCAACAGCTCATACAAGATTTGTTCGGGAAATTGTACGACGAGCTGGACTTGCATTGCATACGGATCAAATATTTACAAACAAAGATCACGTTAACGACATAAAAGGTATAGACGCGTTTGTTTTTCTTAAACAATATGGTAAACGCGAAAACACTCACAATTGGAGTATCGCGAACCTGATCTTTTAAAAAACTTGAGTTTGGTTACCAATACTTTTATTCTTAATCATTTTATTGTTTATTTTGATCTTTTATAGCCATGATGCTTCAACATGACCATCTACTAGTTGAAAAAGAAAACATGGATGATGCTTATAGAAAGATACAAGGATCATTGAGACAATTAAAGCGAGATGAAGAAAAGAAACGACGAGTATTAGCATCATTGGTAGCAGCAAAGAACAACGATCGTACGGCTGATGATGATGACAAAGAAAAAAATGAACAGCAACAAACAATCGCTAAAGATGAAACAAATAAAGAACCAATAGCTAATGACGGTGTAACGAGTCACCCAACAACTAAATTTGGTGGAAGCTAGTTGTTGGGTGACTCGTTACACCGTTACATCGTTTTATGCTTCTTTAATACATTATAAACTTTCTCAAGTTTCTCAATACGTGATACATGTTTTTTCAATTGAATATTGATTACATCAGTCTCCTTTTGAAACACCGTATTCGGTATCGTTTTCGGCGCTTTTGATGCTCTTTTTGCTGCTCTACGTTTTTTAGTATTAAGTGGTGTGACCTTTGATTCTACAAGAAGGCATTTATCAAACTGCAATCCTTCTTTACTTAAAAGCTAGCGCGTCGAAAGTTGAGCTTACCATGACTTTTAGCCGTTGGTTTTCTTGTTTCTTTCTGCCTTAATGGTCGAAATTCGTCGTCATCATCATCTTCGAATTCTGATGGATCAAGCTCACTTTCACTTTCGATTTTCTCCTCATCATTTGGTTTACTTGTCGGTGGGCGTGCTAAAAGTGAAGGCAATAAGCACAAGTATATTCAGCGAAATTGTTCAAGTCTGAGACACCAGGAGAGACATTTTTCCAAAGCTTTCAAGGTATTCAGCTTCTCTTGAAATAAGTAGAAATAAATGTTTTATTTACCGATTCTTACTCTCTATAATATAGTAGTGGTTAAAATGTAACATGAGCGAGAAGAGAGATATCAGATAGTAAGAGACACAAGGCAGGTTTTATGTGAGTATTCTTGAGTCGCTTATTAGCGGAAATTTATCCCTTGCAGTGCGGAGTCATGACTTATATCCCGATCGGCCTATACGATTATCCCGACTGAGCTACAAATCCCGATCGGGATATAATCAAGATTCGAATCGGGATATATAATCAAGCAACCATTCTTCTGGCCTCTGGCTAATAACCAAATAAAAAACGCACAATGCCGTTCGAAAGAGGATCCAAAACTGATTCAGATTCCGTGGGGGCCGGCTATATGCATCGTTTGGGGTACTGCATAGAAATTGGATCAAAAATCGCGTATTTTGATCGGGATATAAAATATATCCGGAACGGGCTGTTTCTGATTTTTTTAAAACGCTTTCGTTTCGGAAAAAAATAAAAGCTGATTACTGAAATCCAAAACCGCCATCGGATAAAACACTTAAACCTGCTTATAAGTCATTGAGGATCTCCAAGTATCGGATGATGATAACCTACTATCCATTTCAAAATATAGTGTCCGTGGCTAGTTTTCGAATAACTTCGGAACGAAGAGAGATAGAGACCTGCAGTTTTCAGCATTTTGTAGAGAAGGCTTTACTACATCTTTTGGTATATGGGACCTTTACGAATCGAATTTCCAGGCGGTGTACCTGAAATGTGAAAAAAGAAGAGGTTGCTGGGTAGCGAGGCCAAAATAATTTTTTCAGTCAAGACTGTTACGCCTCACTTAAGACGACCAGTGGATGATCATATTTACTTTCAATACTTTTTGAACATGTTTAATAATATAGCCCGATCGGGATACAATGATATTCCGAACGGGATATATATCCCGATTCGAATCCTGATTACATCCCGATCGGGATTTGTAGCCCAATCGGGATAAATATTCCGTTCGGGATATAAGTCATGACTCCGTACTGCAAGGGATAAATTTCCGCTAATAAGCGACTCAAGAATACTCACATAAAACTTCAGTATCGAGTGCAGATAGAAGCGAAGTAGTTTCATCTCTTGCCATCGGTTGTATTTGTTCAGCCCTGATTGGTAATGCTGAATGAAATAAACTATAAAATGTCATTTTTTATTGGTCTATAATTGTTTAAAGAACGCACGTGTTAATAATGCTATTGGTTCAACACGTAAAAGTGGTGATGTATTATTTGATAAGATGATAGTTGATGCTGTGTTCGGTGAGTTAATTGACGAAACCATTGGTCTAGTCTCGTTCATCAATGTCATGTTCGTCGTATCATTTAGTTTTGCCGAAAATGGAGGAAGATAATGGCATCAGTTAGAATAGGATCATGCATTTGTAAAGCTACTATTGTCCATCCAAAAAAAGAATTGTATATGATTGTTTTCTGAATAACTTCTGATAGAAAAGAGCGAGAGAGCTTCGATTTTCACCATTCGAAAGAGGAGACTTGAGGACATGCTTTCGTAACCAAAACTTTTCCAAGAAGAGTTTTCCGAAAATCATTTTCCAGAAGATCCTTGAAAAACTAGGCCGCGAGTAAATATTTTTCAATAGCTAGTATTCATTATTTTTCATGAACTGATAGATCGGGGCGTCCTCTTCCAATTGAGAGTCAAGCGAGACCTTGATTTTCTGCGGTTCGGACGTTATATCAGATTTCCTACGAGTCCCAGGACTAGCACTCGGTGACGATTGGTAGCCTTGTAGATGGATGAACTATGCGTATTCGACCACGCTGAGTCTCGTGGCAATATTTGTTTTTAGAAAAATTTTAAAATTCTACCGAAAAGCGAGTTTTACGAAAATTAGAGTTTTCAGGCTGTTTCGCCTAATATTAAAAAATTACTATTCACTCAAAAAACATCAGAGCGAGTTCAAAACCTCAGGATATGATTAATGTTGTCCTCTAAACGTGATTATAAGATCGAAATAATCGAAAAAGCATATTTCTGCTAATAGGTGTTCCAGAAATCCTTTCAGAAACCTTAGGGTTTTGTAAAATTTCTTTTGAGATTTCCTATAAACAGGATATACAGGGTGAGGCAAAAGTTCTGACACAAAGTTTTACAAGCCTTATTATTGTCTTCCGCCGCTACAAGAGACAATTAGTCTAGTGTATACGATACACCTACATGCCTACTATCGCGCTTTACAATATCATTTCGCAACTCACTTGTTTTAGATTTTTCGACATCATGGAATCAGATCGACTGGTAATACAAAAATATTTCGAACGTGGATTTTCGGGTGGACAAATCTTTCAACACGTGAAACAACTTGGTATTACGCGAAGTTGTGTTTATCGGACCATACGTCGATTACGCGATACTGGATCAATACCAGATCATCCTCGATCTGGCCGACCTCGCACGTGTCGAACCAAAGAACGGATCAAAAGAGTGAGAGAAAAAATTCGACGAAATCCTCAACGATCGGCAAGAAAATTGGCATTGGAAGAAGATATCGATACTCGATCAATGCGACGAATAGTGCAAATCGATCTCGGGCTTAAAGCATACAAAAAACGTAAATTACATGGATTATCAACAAAGCAAATGGCGGCTAGGCTCGAAAGATGCAAAGCACTGTTGATCCGGCACGGTTCTGACGACGTCCAAAAAATCGTTTTTTCGGATGAGAAGATATTCGTAGTCGAACAGAAATACAATCCTCAAAATGATCCTTATCGATCGAAGATATTCCTGAAAATATCAGAACAGTGCAGCGATTTCAGAAGTCGAGATCCACCATGATCTGGGGTGCCATATCGTACAACGGCAAAATTCCACTGAAATTCGTCGAAAAGGGTGCTAAAATCAACGCCGAGTATTATCAAGATGAAATTTTGGAATCTACATTAAAGCCCAACATCAGTACGTTATATCCAGACGGTCAGTGGATTTTCCAGCAAGACTCAGCACCAGCTCACGAGGCGAAGTCGACGCAACAGTGGTTAGCCGAAAATTGTCCAGATTTTATCAGTTCCAAAGAATGGCCGTCGTCATCACCAGATCTTAATCCGCTGGACTTTTCGATATGGGGAACATTAGAGGCCATTGTCAATGCAAAGCAACATCGTAGTTTGGAATCGCTAGAACGAACGTTGGTTCGAGAGTGGAATCGATTACGGATGGAGACGGTGCGTGCGGCCATCAGCTCTTGGCGCAAGCGATTAACATTGGTTGTGAAGCATAAAGATGGCCGATTTGAGTGATTTTTTGTCTATATATTTTAGGTATATGAAGTAGTACTTCTGCAAAGTTTCATTCGTTTCTATTGCGTAGTTTTGAAATAAAGCCATTTAGATCTTGTGTCAGAACTTTTGCCTCACCCTGTAGTTAGTCTTCGTCATCATCCTTTTATTTATTTGTTATTGATTAAAACAGAAAAAATCCTTACATTCTACTATGAAATACGATACGCAGTTTCTTTCATCTCTTTCGGGCTGTACTTGTAAAAAAACCTAAAGAAAAAAGAATAATCAAAATTTAGTATTTGAAGGCAAATGGCTACCGACAACTCCGTTACCAAAAATCAAAAGACTAGTATAATCGTTATCACAGGAAATGATGAAACATGTCAAAATCTCCTCTCCATTATTCAAAAATCAGGAAATTGTGGTGAATTTCATCTGTCTGTTGAGTAATTTCTTAGGAAAATAAAAATGATCATTTGTCTAACGAGTGATTATCCTTAGAATACAACTGTCGACTGTTAAAGATTATTACTTTACGTACTTTGTATTAGCAGGAAAAAGCTATGTTAGTCCCATATTTTAGCCCCAAAGGGGTTACACTGACAAGCTTTTTCTGGGCAACAATAAAAGACGTAGTCAAAGTGTGTCGTTCTTGACGTTGTAGAATCTATTCGACGTGCTCTATCTTTTCACCTTGAAACTATTTTGGTGTTTGTGAGTATTTGTTTTATTGATTATCATTTGAATTTGTTTTTAATTTGATCAACAGTTATCTATTGACAGAAGAAACTATTTTTTCTACGTATACAGATACATCGGATACAAAGTCACTACGCTTCTTAATAGACAAACTCCGCAATTTAAGAAAGTAGGCACACAGCGACACTTTAAACTAATAACTACACTAACGTTTATTACTATTCAGTGAAAAATATTTTTCACATTTACAAAACATGTTTTTCTAATACACGCTTGAGTTTACCTTCTATACTTTCACAATAAAGGCAAAAATTTTTATTCGTTTTAAAGAGTTGAACATCTAAAAGACCCTCTTAGAGACTGATACATAGCCCTGTTGGAATAAGAATACCGTTTTTTGTACGAGTAAGCATTTGGTCTCTGAGAGACTCACATTTCACTTAGAGATTTGTATATACCGTTTTAGAATAAAATTTCATATTTTTATTTGAATCAGTCTATATCTCTAAGTAACTCATATCTATCTTGGTGAGATATTAGTACCCCTATTTGATTGAGTCACTGTGTCTCTACGAGCCTTGCATAGCACCTAGAGACACACTGATACTGTGTTTAATTAAATAAATCATTATTTTCAATTAAAACACCACAAATACACGTCTGTATGTGACATATACCTATTATATAATGTTAGATGCGTCAATGTGACATATTAATAGTACAATTAATTAAGAAACTAATTAATTAAACCTGAAATAACATAAATCACACATTTATGAAACTGGGATGTTGAGTTTTTTAACCCACAAGTTAAGTTACATAAAAATAAAAAATTTTATGAAACTTGTAAAAAGTTTTATAAATATGTGATTTATGAAACTGGATTTATGAAGACAGGATAATCCAGTGATACACATATATGTGGTACAATGTGTGTGATGTATATGGATTATTCTAAAATCCCTGAAGTCCTGAAATCGTAATAGCCTTAATATATTTATATATATGTATGTCATATGTGTTATAGTTATGATATCTGTGGAAGGCTCATATCGTAATATTGCTATGTATATAGGATGCACGATTAGAGGAAGTAACATCTCTATTGATATAATATATAGGTACTCCAGAGCGGTAGTATGGAGACATTTTGGATTTCACGGACTTGAATATCATTCACTAACTTGCATAGACAACCCTCTACAATTAATACAAATTCTTTAAACAAACAGCAAGATCAAGAAATAGAACAAGAATTATTTATAGATTTACCAGATGATATACAGCGAGAACTAGCAGCAGAACAAGCAAAATTCGATTATGCATAAGAAGAAAGTGAAAAACAAGATCAAGTGAAATTTAATCAAGAAGAAGAATTAGAAGAAGAACATGAAGTAAAATACTTTCAAGAAGAAGAAAAAGACCTACCAAAATTAGAACTAGAATCAGAAATAGGAGCAGAAGAAGAACAAGAACATATATTATTAGAAGAAAAGATGATCTTCAGTTATTCATCAGTTAGCTCTTGTTCTTCTTTCTGATTCTAGTTTTAATTTTGACTTCATGTTAAATTCGTACCCGTAACGAGGTGAAAAAAGGCATCTGTACATATAGTTTTGGCTGTTTTGAACTGGAACGAGTTCAAAACAGCCTGCACTATACTATATTTGCTTTGCCATTTGCTATACTTTTAAATAAATTGGTTTAAATCGAAACTTATACATCGAAATTTTTAGCCTTTCCGAACTTTTCATTCTGTATTTTCTGTAAATTTTTTTCGACTGGAGTAAAGTTCGAGAAGTTATATGCGTGAAAAATGTACATTTCGTGTTTCTCGTGTATGATACGACATGAAACAGTGGTTTTCTCGAGTTAGGTAGTACTTGATGTCTATCCTGTAATGACAAACGAATATTAAGTATACCTCTCATCCTATATATTATAGCAAAAACCAAAACGGAGCGTCATGCAGCACTTTTGTGAGCAATCGATCTCGTTATTTTGAACTTATTTTGAAGTCGAACTGCTTGCAATTCATTCACAAACCGACGGTTTAGATTATTTGAATGGAGCGCCATGGCACTGTCTATTGTATTACTTACCAAATGTAACAAGTTTAACGTATAAATAATTCAATCATTTGATAATCTTTATGTCAACTGTCAATATGTTTTAGAAAGTTTTTCGATATCATTCCACTTTTGATCAAATGATATGAATATATGCGTACAAAAACCCTCGTCGCACATTTTTTCATTTTTCTTTTGAGTGTGTTCATGTGTTCCATGCAGTAAAACTGTCGGTTAGCCAAAGCCCATACCGGTGAAAGTTCGGACTTAGCAGTACCTGTCTGCTTGCCGGGACTCTTAGATACAATCCGAAAGATATTTAGACTAAGTCGAAGTTCACGCTTCAAGAAGTTATGGAAAAAATTCTGAGGTTTTTGGATAAATCATGTTGTCTTTATATAGATATAGTGATCACAAAACAAAACAGTGATTTAAAAAGAAACGTTTAACCGTCGGTTCTCCGAAATAACGCTGTCAATTGATGGTTAATTTTCGGCGGTTATTTGAATTGCGCGGTGAATTAGCGGTTATTTGAAGAAGCGCGGTTAACGTACGGTTTTCTATAAAAACAGACGGCGTGGGTGGCTTAATCGACGCTTGTTTTGACTGATTCTGTTGACGAACACATGGGTTGGAACAAGATTGTCAACGATCATTTTTTTGCCGTTTCTGTTCTCTCTTCTCAGCGTTTGCTTTTCAATATTGATGAAGTACTAAACAACAGTTCGAGTAGGAATATTTTTGCCTTTTTATCTTTTCTTTCTCTGGGGGTTTCTTCCAACTTATACAGCGCGTTCTGCTTTTCTTTTTGAGATTTTTTCCTGAATAACTCATGCAGTACAAAAGAAAAAAAAGACTAGGAAGTGGTCGAGCTATAAAGAGCATCATTACTGATATTTTCTGCTTATTCTTTTTTCTTCTAAGTAAGTAGTAAAACAATTACAAGCGCAATTTTCTAATAAGTAATTTCCCCATGTGTTCATTTTAGTGACCATGAGCGTTTTTGTGTTGAAAGATGGGTACTACTACTCCAGTAGATGAACGAGCTATCGGCAACTTCTCTAACCACCAGACTGTTTGGCTTGAGACTGACATTGATGACCCGAAAAATCATATCAAATTTAAGAATCTATTTCATAAATTGATACAGCCGTTAGAAACGATGCTACCCACAAAAGATCATCCTCAATATAATGAAACTGACATCGATATACCTATTATGGAAGATGAAAAATATATTATTGAACCAAAGTGTTTATAATCTGAAATTATTTAAAAACGCAGAAGACTGCTTCAAATTTATCCCAATAAAAAAATATTTTTAAGTACGTCCGGTTCACTCGGAAGTTCAATTGTGCCGAGAATTGCTCATTTTCCGCAAATCGAGGGCGTTTTTATATTTTACTTTGATCAAGATAGACATTACAAATGGGCTGTCGATTTCTGGGAAATAATCCTG